ACCACAGCCCTGAAATGCCTAACCTCACGGTTGACAGAAGTCCTGACACCGTGCCGCCTAAAGCAGTCCTGATTTTTGAAGGAAAGGAATTTACGGGACCATTCCACTCGCTTTCACACGAACTCCAGAGCTTCGTAGAAATTGGTATTACTGTAGGTGGTGCGGACTATCGTGCCGAATGACCCCCCTCTCTCACTGCTTCACAGAAAAGATCGTGAGCTGTTCATAGAAACCTTGACTTACCTTGACGACTCCTTCGTGCGACTGGAGGGGCCAGTCCCAAACTTCAGCTTCATGGGTAACTTCGATTGTGGACATTCTAGAATAATTTAGTTGAGAAGGACGCAAGAGGCACAAATAAATTGAGGATACGCGAAACGGAGAGGAAAATCGTTAGAATATTGAAATCTCGTGAAAAATATCTTCGAAAAATTCTTCACTAGGAGGAAAGGGAGGGGCGGGGTGGGGCAGGAGTGCCTAGAGCAAGGATAAAGCAGCGCGAAATATTTTCAAAATGTCGGCATTTGTAAAGAAAGTGACAGACCAGAGGCTGGTGCGTTTACTCGTTTCTCTGCCAGCCGAGCCTGGCTGGCTCGGGGGTCATTCGTACACCAGATCCCAGCCGTCGATTGTTGTAAAGGCAAGAGCACGAGGTATCCGCCCTGATCTGTCCCATAGCTGTAAACATTATCGCCACACGTCCGCTCGTCCAGTAACGCGAAGCGGGCGACGTGTGAGAAATTCCACAGAAACGCAGCAAAATCTCGTAGTCCAATTATTTCAAGGATTTCGCTTCACACTCAGTATTAATAGGATCACAAAAAGCACTTGGGGGGGGGGGAGGGGGCAGGGGCAGGGGACGAAGATGCATCTTCACTTCCACCGGTAAGATTCATTTATCCCGCGGTAACTGCCTTCAAAAACAGCGCTGTATGGAGGATACAATGCTATCCGTGAGACCAAGAAGAGCTCATGGTTCTGCCCAGCAACGCCCTCCTGTCAAGTTCAGGAACTCATTGTTCCCTGGCCTATCCCTCCTGTCATCTGCTTCTAAACATATCGTAGAACTCATAAAATATATTTTTGGCACCATCGCAAAATAAGAGGACATCGACTGGGACTAAGCCTAGGAAGGGGCATGAATTCGGGAGAAGTCACGCACCTCGGGAGTCTCTCCTCTCCACCCGGCCTGAAAAACCTTGTTTTTGACAAAAGCAAGAAGTCGTGCGGTGGTCTTGAGTCACCATCACATTGCCCCGGTATCTTGCGTAGCACCGTTTCCAATTCTTGCATTCAGAAATAAAAATGGCAACTTCTGAACAGGGTCGGTGTCAGGAAAGCATTTCTATGGAAAACCTCCTGAACCGTACCTCGAAAGGACACTTAATATGCCATCTAATGTTCTACTCAAACGATGGCAGATCGTACGTCTTCCATGGCTCGAATAGGGCCACAAAGTTAAAAATATGAGCCGCATAAGACTTTTAACAGTCCTAGGCTTGGGATAAAACCGTTCCACGCCGCTCAGAGAGTTGTACAGTGCGCTCTTTTCATGATGGCATGATCATTCCCACCTATCCCAATCTGATCTTCAGTTTTGGGAAGAACTATTGAAAACTCCATTCCACAAGAATGCTGAGTTATGGGCAAAACGTTGGCCTCAGGCATTATTCAAGCGCGCATACCTTACTTACTGGATAATGGGGTTACCAGCAGCCTCACTTCCCGCTCACTCACCTTTACTAACGGACCAGACTCCAGTAAAATGGAGAAGCATGGCCTCAAGCAAAAGAGTAAATAGCAAAGGTGGGCGGTAGTTGGAACAGTTGTGTAACTTAGGAAGACTGACGTGGAATTTTGGCCGACTTGTTTTGGAAATTGTTGGCGACTTGTAATTGAAAAATAGATTCTGGTGCAAATAAAAACTTAAATACGGATTAAACCTTACTCGTCAGCGACAGCGATAAGTCACCAACAAAGAAGGAAGGGAATGAGGAATTAGAATAAGGAATTAGACAACTCACTCAATGAAGCACTATGACGTCGAAAAGTGCTATAAGTTTTCTTTAAAAAAGTGTCTGCAACAATTTTGTAATTCAGAGATCTAGACAGGACCTTGGTCGCTTACTTTCCCAAAGAGTGAATCAGTTAATTGATAACCCATGCTGATCCCGAGAGAATAGAGCAGAAAAAGCTAAGACTGGGTAAACTCAAGCGGCGAAGTTGATGAGTGGCCATGGCACTCTGAGCTGATGCTCCAGCTAGACGGAGAGCAAAGCTGAGCAAAGCTCAACTCGTGCCCCGAATCGTCGGGGATGGTTGAAGAGGTTGGTGGTGAAGGTGAAGCTAAGGCAGCCTATGAAAACAAAGAAAGAGGGATATCTCAAGGAGTGAGGCGGAGGTGCAAACAAACGCACTGCTGGGAAATGCGAAGAGCGTTGATGTATGGGAGGATCCCACACGAGTGTGAGCGATGTTGCCCGCCCTCGTAAGATATGCTGCACCTCGCCCACATAGTACCATTCAAATAGCATTGTATCATGTTTTGCAGCGATCATGAAAAATCAATTTTTTAGTGATTCCGCTTTAACGTGAAGTCGGAAATGTTCAGAGATCCACTCTGTCAATACGAGAACTCAAACGACCCGGGTTTTCTGAAGCCTCACCGAGACCTTGTCTGGAAGCCATGGCATAGTGTTTGCCGAAGTAAGCAAACCAGCCCTTTTGG